ATACACACACACATCTAAAAAGGGATCAATGTCAATAATATATAATGAACTCAACTCATTATCAAGAAAACAAACCAATTTTTCTGGGGATTTAGCTCAGTGATTCTGCTGCCCGCCTCACAAGCAGAAGGTCCCAAGTTCGATCCCCATTACCAAAAAAAAAATCCGAACCAGTTTAAAGATGGGCAAAGGACTTGAATAGACATTTCTCATAAAAAGACACGCAAATGATCAACATCATTAATTATTAGGGATGCTTAACCTCATTTATTATTAGGGAAATGTAAATTAAAATCACAATTATATACTAGCTCACATCTGTCATAATGGCTATAATTAAAAAGACTAGAGATAACAAGTGTTGGTGATGATGTAGAGAAAACAGACACCTTGTACACTTTTTGGTGGTAGTAAAAATTACTTCAACCATTTATGGAAAAGTATGTGGTCATTAAGGGCAAGTGATTTAAATAGATAAAAGTTTATAAATGAATTTTTCAACAATAATTGAGCTGGACATGCTCTGGCATGTCTATAATCCCAGCACTTGGAAGGTTGAGGCAGGAGGATTGCTACAAGTTCAAGCCCAGGTAAACAGTGGGTTAAGGCCAGCCTGGAATACATAGTGAGACCCTGTCTTGAAAAATTATTTGATAATAAGTCTGCCTGAAAAGAATTTCAAAAATATTTTTGTAACCGAAAACCTTAAAAGAATGTCAAGTTAAATGATGATGACTCATTGGCTATCTAGATAATTTATAAATATGATAAATACTAAAATATTAATTGCTGAACATAAGTTTAATTTTATCCTACATTGTGGTCTTATGGCAGAGGAAGTAAAGATATTTAAGTCTGTTAGTAAGCATGGCCTGCATTACTCTGACAAACTGTAATATGAGGAAGCATATGCTTCTAGAAATTATGAAATGATGTTAATCTACAGAAACTGTTATATGACAATTCAAAATTGCTTAGTTTTCATTAGAAATTAAGATTGCTAAAAGTTAAAATTTCTAATTTATATGTGTATTAAAACTAGAAAATATTAGAATTTTTATTATATATTATATATATATTAGATGTTATTATTAAAATATTATTAGAAAATACTATTAGAAATTTTAAGGGGAACAACTCTGCATGTAAAGTATATAAGGAAAGCAAGATGTATTTTCAGCATGAAAACACATACAGTATGAAGATGCATTTCTTAAATTACTCTTTTCCTAGTCTGGGGGTTACTTAAAGGTTGTTTCAGAATGAAAAAAGAGAATGAAGTGTGTTAGGGGTATAGCTCAATGGTGAGGCACTTGCTTAGTATACACAAGGCCCTGGGTTACATCCCCAGCACCACATAAAAAAAGAAAAGAAAAAAACAAGAGAGAATGAAGGACAAAGTTTGAAGTAATACCAAAAATTGGGAAGTTTCAGACTGGGGAGTAATGAGGTTCAGGACATGCTACCCAACAATATGGTACCTCGGCATGTTGAATATTTTAAGTTGGAGGAATTTGGGGAAACCACAAACACAATAAAGTTTTCTTTGACTTTTCCCTACCCTTCCCTAAAGTAGGCTACAAAGTCTGGGAAGGATTTTCTGACCTTCCCTGAAGGAGGTCAGAAGACTCTCATGTGACAGGTACTTCTGTTGTACACAGAGGAAGAGAACATCAGTATTTCTGAAGATGAAGGGACACAGAGAAGAATCTGAGTAAAGAGGCCCTGCTAAGTTTCCTCCAGTTTATAGCCATTAGATCATGTCCCTTTTACCCTATTGTATTTCTCCATAACTAGCTACTCATCACACCTGGCTTCAAAATATATTGATTTAACTGTTTCTTCGAATCTTTATTTTCTTATGAAGGCTCCCATATTACATAAAACAAAGTTGTATGCTTTTCCCTTGTTAAAAAAAAACAGGTAGTTAACTATCAGCTATATGGTGGTGACTCACAGATTTTAGCCCCAGCCCTAATATCCACACGTGTACCACTTCTTCATCATGCAATATGTACATGCCTCAAACATCTTAAACATAAGACGTCAAAACGGACTCTTGATTCTACCTACTTACTCCAGTTATTCCGCCAATCTTTCTCATCATAGTATGATACCCCCCCATCCTTGTAGCACCAAGCTTTATTTCCTCTCCTTCTCATCCCTAACATCAAGCGTTATCAACGCTATTTCCAAAATGTATCCCATATGCATCTACTTTTTACTCGACAACTTGTACTACAAAATTTTATTTAGAATCCCAACATCTGTAGTGAATAAATGACATTGGTCGACAATTTCCTCTTTTTGTCCTACCTTCATGAGGTCTTGATATTAAAGTTATGTCCTTTTATTCAGTGAACTGGAGAGCTTCCATTTCCTCTAGATTTTCAAATATGTTGATTACAAGCAGTTGCACAGAGTATTTCACTGATAAATTATTTCAATCTTTCCCACATTTGTGGTTATGGTAGCTCTTTTATTCCAAATATTGTCTATTTTTTATTTAATTGGAGGAACTTTAAGTTTACAAAGAAATAATTTTTGCATTCATTTGGTTTTATTTGTAATTGTATTGTTTTATATTTATACATTTACCTCTAATTACCTTGTTATTTTCTATTTTCTTAAGAATTAAATTTCTTTTAAAATTTTCTCTTTTTTAACAATCAAGACACTTAACACTACAAATTTTCCACTGAGCTTAGCTTTCAGAGTGCTCCATTAGCTCTGACATAAAATTTTCTTTTTTATTAACTTTATATAGTTAATAACTTTTCTTTTGATTTTCTCTTCAGCAAAATTTTTAAAATTCTAAGTGGTTGTGATTTTCATGCCCAACTTCTATTAATTAGTTTTAATTTTTTTGAATTATGAGAGAATGTAGCCTGTAAAATTCTTTACTTTAAAAATTCTGTTAAGGTTTCCTTTGTGGCCATGTATATTATTGCTTTGAACAAGTGAACATTCAAAATATGTTTGTTCACATTTATTATTGTTATTTATTTTGCATATTCAAAATTTTTGTCTTTATCTTTTATCTACTGGATACAGCCAATATAAAAGAAGTGGTTTTATAATGACATTTTTCTCAAGTTTCCCATGTATCTCTACTAATTGTTATTTTTGTATTTAACTTAGTGCATATAGATTACTACTTACATTATTACATGATAGCCCTCCTTACCCTGTTTCATCTTTTTATCCTCTTTTTACACTTACATTGTATATTATCAGTTATCAATATTATCACTTTTACCTTGATTCGGCTTCTATTTGTCAGGTTTCTTTTTATTTGTTTGGCTGAAATTTTAGGGATTAGCTCATTTAAATATCATTGGTTATCTTATGACACTCAAGAGTTTCAACTAGTAATTTTATTATCTTTGCTTAAGAAAATTAAAATAACCATTACTTAATACCATCTATATTACAAAGTAAGAGAAGAACCAAGAATACAAAGAGCTTTGAGGAATACCAATATTTAAGACATGCCCGGAAACCAGAAGGAAAGAAAAGGAGAGCTATGTAATACAGTATGCTTTAATAAGACTTTTCCTTGCAAATTTGGAATCTTATATAACAACTAAATTTACCTTACTTGTTATAATTATTTAAGATCCACATATTTTAGAGTTAAAATCATAACAAGAGGGGGCTGGAGATTTAGTTCAGTGGTTCTGCCACCTGTCTTGCAAGCACAAGGTCCCAAGTTCAATCCCCAGTGCCAAAAAAAAATCATAACAAGTGATTTTAAAACTTCTTTTCTAGTCTCTACTCTTACGAGCTCCTTCACCTAATACATATTTGGTCTCTTTTTAAAATAAAAACTTACTTGTTGGCCACACGTTCTCCAAAGTTACGATCTATTTAAAAAAACAAGCACAAATTTTATATTATTTTTGTGTAACATTTTTTTCTTAAAAATACATTCAAACGTGTTTCAAATATACATTTTAAAAATAGATGCTTACTTTCTACAAGCCTAGCAAGTGTGCCATCCATGTTGTCTACTATAATTATCCCACCTTGCTGTCTGTCTCTCACAAATTTGTGGGCTTCTCAAGGGAATGTTAGTTGTAATACGTTACATAGGGAAAACAATCAGAAAATACCATAAACCAAACTATGTCTGCATAATAATGACATATACATATCGACCCGTTACAAACAGGAGTTCAAGTTATTAGGCAAGTAAAGTAATGATAAATTGTAAATAAAGTGATGTTAAATTATTCATTAAATAAATTTTAAATGAGTCCTTGCTATTTGCCAGACACTGTACTAGATGCTAAAGACATAGCCCAGGGCAAAAATATAAAAACCCACAGCTTCAGGTAGTTTACATTCTACTGGGGACAGAAAATAACCAAGAAAAATAAATTTTATTTATTTTGCTCTTGTGGTGCTGGGTATAAAACTCAGGGCCTCACTTCTGGAAAAATACATTTTATAATATGCTAGATAGCAGTAAGTGCTAAGGAAAAGGGCAACAGGGATACGATATGTACATAGAGGAGATCTGTCCAATAGTGACAGGTGGTTTGAAACTACTCAGTATGGTGGTATACTCAAGTTCTTCTTGTGTTTCCAATCAGTTTTGCTTTACATATTTAGCTTAGTGTATGCAGTAATTTAAACTTTAAAAAGGAAATGCTCACTGCGAGGGAAATTTTTAAGTAAGATTTGAGAGAGTGAACCACCGTGATCTAGCAGAAGGACTCAACAGGAGCGAAAGTCTTGACAAAAGAACGTGCCTGGTTTGTTTGAAGAACAATGAGGATGCCAATAGACCGACCAAAAGGACCAGAAGACAATGGCAGGCTTGGGGAGAGCAGATCCTGAAGGGTCTTGAAAGGAACTGGAAGAATTCCAGCTTTTACGCTGAGGCTACCAACTCAGGGCAACTTCCATGAGATGGAGAAAGCCATTGGAGGGATTTGAACAGATGAGAAATGTGATCTACTTTGCGTTTTATCAGGATCATTCTGATCGGTTTTTTTGTTTTTTTGTTTTGTTTTTTGGTACCAGGGATCGAACTCGGGTCCTTGCACTTGCGAGGCAGGCAGCGGAACCACTGAGCTAAAACCCCGGCCCATTAACGGCATCATTCTGTCGTGTAAAGAATGGACTGGCATGAGAGAAGCAGAGAGGTGGCCAGAAAGTTCTTGCAGTAGTGTCGAGTTTTTGTTTCTCTGGTTTTCACTGATGTATTGACAGTGCCAGGTACGTGTTTGGCAATCACTAAGTCAGTAAATCTATGAATATTTGATGACTGAGGAAATTACATGCGGTATTGCAGAGAAACAGAATACATAAAATATGTATTTCAAAATCATAAGTGCACATAATGATCTAAATGCAAAAGTCGGCAGTTCATATTTATAATCTAACTATTCAATTGCAATGATTTTTTCACTGATATGAAATATAAATAATTGTATTGTCAATTTTTAATAGATGTCAGGAGATTTATACCCAAGAAGTCTATTTTTCAATAATTATTATTTAGGGCCGGGGATTTAGCTCAGTGGTTCCGGCGCCTGCCTCGCAAGCACAAGGACCCGAGTTCGATCTCTGGCACCAAATAAATGAATAAACAAATAAATAAATAATAATTATTATTATTTAGAAAATAATTTTTAAAAGTCATTCTTGTGTATAATATTTTGCTACTATGAACTATTAGATAATGTGTTAAGCAAATTTTAAAATATCTTATATCATAAAATATCATTAAATTCAACTGAGTCTCCAAATGAACATTAAGTATTCTCTGCTTAGGAACTGTAAATACAGTCAATAAATACAGTCTCAGCCTCATGGTTTTGTTTTTGATTTTGGTTTGTTGTTGTTGTTGTTGTTGTTTACTTCAGCTGGAAATTTAAAACTTTTTGAACATTACAAAAGAAGTATAAGATACTATATGAATATATCAAGGACATTAACTTCATCTAGAGAGTCCAGATTGACTCCTCTGTGCTAGACTTACAGAATAAAATACAAGTTGGACAGGAAGGCGGAGTAGGAAGCTGAGAATGACCTGGGGGATATTTAAGTGAAAGAACTCCAGAATCCCAGAGAATTGGGCAACAATGACACAAAATGAAGCTTTTGCGCTTCATCCTTGGAAATGGAAAGACTCTGAATGATTTCGATAAAGGGAAATAGCATGATTATATTCAAGTTTCTAAAATATCATTCTGGTTATATCACGGAGAAGGTTGAGAATAGACATATGGGAACCAGTTAAGTGACTATTATATTTCAAGAGAAAGGTGGCAGCGGTTTGGATGGATGTAAGTACAGAAAATTTAGAGATCACTGACAAGTAGAATGAATAGAATTTGGTGATGGACTGGAGTAAAGCCAGAACATTTTTTCAAAACATAACTTGCAGGTAGCACTTGAGCACCTGGGTGAATGAAGGTGTCATTCAAAGGCAAAAGAACGGGTTTGGGAGATGGAAAGTGAACAGTTTTATTTTGGATAAATTGCATTAGAAAGGTAACTGCAGAACATCCAAGGGGAGAAGTCCAGTAGACAACTAGCCACATATGTTTGGAGCTCTAGGTGTAAATATAAACAGTAATATAAATACAATTTGTTCTATTAGCCATATTTGTCCTGTAGCATCTGTTATAATTAATAATAACGACCAAATCATAAGACTCAGAAAAGTGACAGTAGTTATTCTTTTGGAAATTAAGCAAATGTCTGGTTTTTGTTATAGATGGTTTTACTCAAAGGACTTAATGTTTATCATAATTTTTGTCAAAATCACCCATTGGAAATGCAGAATGTGTGTCCAGTGAAAATATATACACAAAAGAAAAATAACATTTAAAATAGATATTGTTTAACCCTTTAAGTTAATCAAGACTAAATTTAATTTAAATACATATAAACCCTATGACATTATAGCTTATTATAACATGAATTTGTGTCTAAAGAATCAAATGCCATTACTGAAACACAATAACTCATTAAAAGTATGATTTGCCAATAAATGTATAACATTAATGCTTCAGATTAAAAAAGACCCTATGTAGAGGTACAAGATCCCAACAATGAATGTAACTGTACTGTATCCCTAAAATGTACCAATAAACTCAATCAAAGCTGAAAAAAAAAGACCCTATTTCTGAGGTTTGCCCATTTTTGTACTGTAAATACTCCCAACATGGCCACTTTCAAGCAATCAACATGACATTAACCACATAGCAAAATTCCTGAAAATTTTATAATTGGTTCTTGTAAGCTGGTATGAGGCAAATTAACCTTAAGGGATTACAAAGAACTTACACCTCAAACATTAAAAGATATTACACTGTATGTGTATATGTGTATATATATATATGTATATATGCGTGTGTTTATTGTAAACTTTACATATTTTCATTGTGTTTATTGGTACTTTTTAGGTATACAGTACAGTTACATTCATCACTGGGATCTTGTACCTTTACACGATATACCTTATTTCTTATTTTTTTCCCCCATTCTCCTGCCCGCCCTTCAACTTTACATATGATAGGTAATTATTTACATGGTATACAATTCAGAAGTTATAAAATGGTATACAGAGGAGACTGTCCCACCATCTCTTTCCATGAACCACCATGTTTTCCTTGGAGACAACCAATTTGAATTCATTTCTTATATATCCTCCTAGAAGTATTCTAGATAGATAGATAGATTAGATAGATAGATAGATATTCTTTTTCCATTTCAAAAAGCAAAGATGTGGCATAGTGTAATTTGTTTCACAACTTGCTCATTTGTCATTAAGCAATACAACTTGGAGATGATTCTACATCATTACATAAAAAACAAGCCTCTTATTCATGGCCATTTTGCTATAACAGTGCTGCAGTGAATATCCCTGCTCACATATAATTTCATAATTATGAACATACATATGCTTCAGGAAGAGGCAGCACTAGGGTTTGAGCATGAGATAATTAAAAATTCTAATCTTGCCTTTAATTATTACTGATATAATCGTGTCATAATATCATATTACCTGTACTTGCAGCTCGGCTTGCTAAAGCTTTCATAACTGAGCCATCTGGGATGGATGGAATAAATTCATGCTGGAGACTAAGAGATCACAAGAAAAATGAGGCACAGCAGAGGAAAAATAGAAGCACATACATTCTACCTAGCTGAACCTATGTTTCTTTGATTCATCCAGCTACCCAACTATCTATTAGCTATATATCTGCCTGTGATAAAGATATAATTAATATTAGCCAGTGGATTTATTGTCTAACCTATGAATGAACAATACATGACCTTTGTACAAATATTGGATGATACAAAAAAGAAAAATTAAATTAATCATAATTGTTCCAATTGGAAGTAGCCAATGTAAACATTTTAAGGTGCTATACCTCAAATTTTACATTATTCAATTTGTATGTATAGGCATGTATAGAAGAGTACATACGCCTATGTAGACACGTATGTTTTGACTGTCATTATGTATACTGTTATGTAAATTCACATGAAATGAAATGAAATAATCTTATATAACAGTTATTTTCATAAGAGGGACCTCTAGGACAGGGAGCCAAATTCCTGAAAAGAAGGTGATATTCCTATCTCAACTTCTGACTTTGAGAATTGTTCATTTCAATAAAAGATGCTTCCTTGGGAAGAGTGTGGAATATCACAAAAGATATAAAAACTTGTTACACATCATCATTTACAATAGATGAATAGGATTCCATTATAGTCACAGCCCTTTACTTAGCCACATTGTTAAAATATTTAGGCTGAGGGAAATCATTTAGAGGGAAACAGAATTAATCTATATTAAGACATTTATTAACTTACCTGTAAGGAGGTAAATTGTCATTTTTCTTTTCCAAGTAAATTAAATGCTGTTTCAGCGCTTCAATTAAACTGTAGTGTGCCTAAAATGTTATTAAAGATTTAGTCTTTGGTAGATTTAGCACACTGATGCTCTCCTATATTATAAAAATATTTTCAATAAAAATAAGGATACCATAAAAGAAAAAATATGACAAAATGAAAAACTGGAAATAAAGTGTTTGTAAATGGGGAGGGAAAGAAGGGATGAAGGGAGGGCAGGGACAAGGGGAAAAAATGAGAACTAAGACCTGTTATGTAAAGGTACGAGATCCCAATAATGAATGTAATTGTACTGTATACCTAAAAGGTACCAATAAACTCAATAAAAGAACAAAAAAAATAAGGACACCTCTATAACAAATTCCTCAGAGCTAAAAACCCTTACCTATAAATTCATTATTAAAAGTAGTACCTTGTAACAAGTCAGATTTTCAAACTTATGATCTGAAATACATTTTTGTTTTTATTTTTTATTTTTTTGGTACCAGTGATCGAACTCAGGTCCTTGTACTTGCAAGGCAGGTGGTGGAACCATGAACTCAATCGCTGGCCCCCTGCAATACATTTTCAAAACAATAAAACTTCTTAAAAGAACTCAAAGACTGCTAAAATATATATCCTCCAAAGAAAAAACATTGACCTTGAAATAACTCATTCTTTATGGTTCCTTCATGAACCACAGGTCACGATATGCATTTAAGCAAAGCATTAAGCCAAGTGGAAAGAGGGCAGGGTAAAGAGAAGAAAAGTGGCACAGAGGAAAGAGAAGGCACAGAGAATCTCAGAGAAAGCCGGGTGTCCATGCGCTCTCTGGGCTCTGCTAAAGGGCCAGTCTCCTTGAGAGGATTCTCTTGACTATCACTAATTCTTTAACTCGGACTGGGGATTTAGCTCAGCGGTTCGGTGGCCTACCTCGCAAGCGCAAGGACCTGAGTTCGATCCCCGGTACCACAAAAAACAAACAAACCAATTCTTTAACTCAAAGTCATATTTTCCTACAGAGAACTTGTTTTTATTGACATTACAGGATTCTTCCTTTATTGTCTGTCTCCCTGTAATATGAGGTAAGCTCCAAGAAAATAGGGATGTTGTGTTGTTCTGCTCACCGAGGAACCTTAAGTATGTGGCACATTATAATATTTTCCGAATAAATACAGGTATACCTTTTCATTCTCTTTTTCAATTAAACGTGGAAAATGGAGAGAGTCTCTTACATAAGGTCAGTTCCCCACCATGGCTGTATATATTATCATCTCTCTCCTGATCTATTGTTCAGGAAATTTTTATTGATAATTTATTATACGCTAGGTAATGAGGATACAGCAACAAGCAAAACAGCTTGGTCCCAGGCTTCATGAGCTTACAGTCTACAGGTCTAGGGGAGGAAAGACACCAATAATCCCATAAACATGAAGTCGAAGTTATGAAAAAGAGGCACATACTCAGTGTTGGAACAGGGAACGTGACAGAGTCAGAGAGGCAAGGGATCCTAAAGAAAGCACCCGCTGAACTAAGATCTAAAGGACATCAGGGAGCTGAGCAGGTCAGCAGGGGCAGGAGCAGGGAAGGCCAAGAATAAGGACGAACCAAGTTGCTACAGCAGAGGGCGAAAAAGAGCATGAGGGGCAGAAGTAGGTATTTAGGAACACAGGACCTTCGATCAAAGACAATTTGGGGAAGTTTGGATTTTACCCTAAGAATACTGAAAGATGATTCTAGAGCGTTTGAATGAGAGATGAATTGATCAGATCTGTACTGGAGAGTCATCAAGTCTGTTTTCTCAAAGCATTAATTATATCAAAGTTTTACAAACAGCAGAGGGCGGAATACAGAAAGGCCACCTGTCTGGAAGGCGAAGAGTGATGGAGCTTACGGAGCAGGGACGCACTGAACACCGGTATCCGACTTCAGGAAACTCTGAGAGATTGAAAGTTAACGCGGAGGGAGAAGGAATCACAGATGCAGACACAGGAAGAAGAGCACATTTTGGAGTCAAAACGGCTGATGGAAAATTCTGAGCCGGCAGTGAGAAGAAAGGTTAATGAAGGGACTGTTTACAGAGCTGTGGATAGGTTTAAGGGGGATTCAGGGAGAATAAATAACAAAATCTGTCAATATTTGAATGATGTTAGCTGGGGAGGGGCCTGTCGGATCTGCCTTCAGATATTCACCGCCACCCCAGCCACAGCGATGACCAGCAGAAACCTGCTCCGAGCTGCTGCAAAAGTCCACGCGCCAAGCCGTCCTCCCGCACCCGGACCGGGGAGGAGGGAGACGCAGAGCCGCGTGTCTCGACCCGTCCCTGGCGTCTTGGTGAAGAGCAAAAGCGCAGAGCAGCCCGGGTCCCCAAGCCTGCAGGCGTCACCTCGCCCGCGGGAGGGAGACAGGAGAGGCGCGGGCACCGCAGACCCACCCGCAGCTGCTCCGAGGGAGGCTCCGTGACTCCCAGACCAGTCACAGCCGCGCCAGAGAGACAGAAGCGAGGAGTAAGCTTTCCTCCAGCGGAAGGCAGCCCCAGAGGGAGCTCTCAGAGGGCTTCGCCGAAAGCACAGTCCACTGTGGCAGAGGAAGACACGCCCAGCCCTTCGCCCCGAGCCTCGTCCAGGCCCTAAGCATAGTTCTACTTTGAGGCAGGGTCTCACTCAGCCTTCCGCGCTGGGCCCCAACTCGCGATCCTCCTGCCTCAGCCTCCCCGAGTGCTGGGATCACAGGCGTGCAATGCCAACACATCTGGCCGTGGAGGAAGGCAGACCTTAACATCCCTCCCCTTGTGAGACCTCGCAGCAGACGGGCCGAGAAGGCTCCTTGAAACCGTGCACTGTTTTCTGCAGACCCTTGCCCCGAGACAAACCCACTGGCCGAGTGGAGCAGAGGTGGGGATGACCGCCACCCACGCGGGAAGGGCTCGGCACTCCAGAGAAAGCACGTCGCCTCCGAGCAGTTCTGCCAACCGAAGCCGGGATCGGTACTGGCCGGCAGCCAGGCCGGGCGCGAGCTGATAAAGCAGCAGGCTCTTCCGGGAAACAGGGCCCAGGCCAAAGGAGAGAACTGGGGGCGGGTAGAGGGCAAAGCGGGCAGCGCGGCCGGGTCGCCAGGGCCCACCTTGGCCACCTCTGCTGCACTGCCACCTGCAGTTCAGACCACACTCATAGCCACAGGGAGAGGGAGCTCCAGAGACCAGCTGCTCCGCACAGTAGCAGCTATTTGATTCATTTGAGCTCATTTGATTCTCATAACACTGTTAAGAAACAGTCACTAACATTACACCCTTTTGCAGCTGCACACATGGGGAAGAGAGAATGGAAATCGGTTGCTTGAGATCACACAAGTAAAAGGTGAAAAAGGCAACCCTCAAATCTAAGTTCATTATTCCAAATACCATGCTATTACCACTGATTATTTCTGTCCATTTAAAAAGCAGAATCGAGTTATTATTCCATGAGGCATTGTATGCATGTGAGTATGTGAGCCTGGAAAATGTTACTTATGGAGAAATAAAAGAGTGTATGACAGGGCTGGGGATGGAGCTCAGTGGCGCCGCCTCCCTTCCTGGCGAGCACAAGGTCTTGAGTTCTATCCCTGGTGGTGGTGGGGAGAGAAGTATATTACAGAAGATATAACATATGACACATATAGTATGACAAAAGGTGTAGGTGTATGGCAAAGGATAGATTTTCAGATGATGATTAGTATAATAAATACACAGGCACAGAAAAACAGAAAAAGTCATTTAAATACATAAGACACTGACCTGAGTAAGACATGGAATGTCACTCCGATAAATTCCAACTTGCTGAATTCACACAAAAAGGAGAAAAAAAAAGGTATATATTACAGCAGGGAGTGACAATGAAAACATAACTGCATGAGCACTGTATACACAAAAGAGAAAATACTCAAAGAGCATGATGTCTTTCTGGGCTAGATCAAGAAAGACATGCCAGATAAAATTATATGTTTTACATTTGAGCATCAATTTCTATTTATCCTAAGGATAGACTCTAAAAGAAGATAATATTTGTCATGTATTGAGTCTTTGCTGTTTTGGGAAGAATTAAGTTATATTTTAGCTGTCAGACAAATGCATTCTAGTTTTTCAAGTGTTGTAGTCAGAAGTCAGCCATTATTCATATAGCTGTTCATCTTTGGGTAAGATGTCTTTGTTCTCCTTGGTTTTCAGCAGTGCTACTACCACTTGTCTAGGAGTGGTCCTCTTTTATTTATCTTGCTTAGGTTCCACCAAGGATCAGAGCAACATGGGGCTCAGGTCAGGCATTTCTTTCTCTAACTGACCACAGGCCTGTTCCACCTACTGTCCACTGCCTCAAGACAAGACAGGCCATGTACATTTGGAGCTGTTTCTGGTGGGAAGGAAGTTTGATCCTGTTTGTCCTCATGGCTGGAGACAGAGGTCTCTGTAAGACTGCTTTTGAGCCCAAGTGCATTGGATGCTACATATGAAATACCTCATTGGAGTTTTCAGTTTTACCATCTACAAAGTAGTTATTTGTTTTGGTTTTGGTACCAGGGATCGAACTCAGGACCTGATGCTTCCAAGGCAGGGGGCGGCACCACTGAGCTAAATCCCCGGCCCTCACAAAGTAGTTAAAACTACTGTGAATTTCTCTGTGTGGTAATAGTGTTGGGGGAAGAAGTGTAGTAATACCTGATACTAAACTTAAGACAGAAAACAGCAGAAATTGCTTGGATAGAAGTGGATTTCTTTACCTCTGCAACTTTCAGGAACTGTGTCAGTTTGGTTGTTCTTCCGAGGAATTTGATGTAAAGATCCAAACTTTCCTTGCATTGGCTTCTCCTCATGTTGAAATACTTGTCTAAATTTTTTAAAATGACCATATAAAGAAAGTCAGACATGTCTTATTTGACCATGGTGAAAACAGGCCTTAATGTGTAACATATAAATGTGGAAACGTATACCGATTCTCTGGTAATTTTCCAGAAATATCAGTTAGCACTTATAAAATAAGGAAAAGTTGTGTGGCTATTTTTCACTACACAAGCAATATAATATCTCATTATTTAAAAGATATGTGACACTACAAAGATCTATTTTGAATCTATATATAGAATAAAAGCTTTATACAAATAATTTTACCAAAATTTTATCCTCTTAAAAGTAATGTTCTGACATGCTTGAGTTATTTTTAGGTAAACAGATCACCTCAAGACCATAATTTTAAGGCCGGGCGTGGTGGTTCACCCCTGTAATCCCAGCACTCGGGAGGCTGAGGCAGGAGGATCGCTGTGAGCTTGAGACCAGCCTGGGCTACACAGTGAGTTCCAGGTCAGTCTCAACTACAAAGTGAGACCCTGTCTCAAAAATAAAAAAAAATAAAAAAAATAAAAAGACCATAATTTTAAGTGAAATAAATCAGACACATAAAAATTTAAATTTAAATGTAGCATTGCTTCTCTTGTGTGAGGAACTCAACGACTAAATAAGGAGTAAAATAGAGGATAGATATTGGTGAGTAGGAAGTACATGTTCAAATTGGAAGGGGAAACGGAGGGGGCAGAGGAAAAGAAGGATAGGAAAAAGGATTCAAATAAAAGAAGGGAAGAAAAAATGGGAACAATGAGTGTGTAAATGAGGAGGGAAAGAGGGGTTGAAGGGAGGGGAGGGAAATGGGAAAAAAGAATTAAGATATAGTATGTATAGGTATAGTTTCCCTATGATGAACGTGATCATTATGTATGGCAAACATGTACCCATAAAAATAAATTTTAAAATTTAAAAATAAAGAGAATTAATCCCCTCAGCAAAAGTAATGTTCATGCTTTATCATACCTAGCAGGTTAAGAATCCCCTCATTGTATGCTGCAAAGAGACGGAGAGAATCTTTAAAGAGCAGCAGGAAAGCAGCATGTATTATACCATTAGTTAGTTCATCTGGATTTGCCTGAAAATTAAGGAGTAAAGCAATTACTCTAACAGTTAAAAATAAATCCTTCCCCCATCTATAGTTTAATCGTGTTATCTATTAATATTTTTTAAAGACTTTTTAAACCTCTTACATTGAATTTAAGAAGAGCATCAAACTGGGTTTGAATAACTGGAAGTGTGTCAAGCAGCTCTCTGGTATTCATAGTTCTCATTACACCATTTGTCCTATAAAAGATAAAACAAATTTATAAATATCAATAATTAAGGGGTTGAGAATCCCGGTGACATCAGCATCCTGAAACAGAGTTGTGTTTTTGACAAACTACAAAGCAGAACACGTATGTTTCAGTATACACGTACAAACTATTTTACTGACCCTCTCTTGGTCTTTGTGATGTCAGATGCTGTGAATCTATATGCGAGTGACTTTTCGTTCAAGTACTTGCTGTATCGTCTGATGAAGATTGACATAGAATAGCCTAAAAATGAGATATTTTTTATTATTTCCAATGCAACCAATATTAACTATTTATAATATGTTCATAAATGCAAAGACTTAACAATCTACACACATACTTCAATATCCTTGAAGCACAAAAGCTAGAATCCCTTTATTAGTCATCTAGTCTGATGCTCCTCAAGCATTCTGTCAAGGACTTTTTTATTTCCTTAATGCTTTGAGATCACCCTATGGTGTGGTGTTGATGGTGACACTACTGAACAGGGAATGTAACTGAACTTTAACAGCTCCTTTCATAGGAAACGATTGTAAATTCTTATTCTTTTCCTTACTGCCCCCAGCCTACTATCACCATCCCCCCTCCAATCTCTCCCCACCGCAGCAAATGACCTTGCCTCCCATTAACAGAGAGAGTGAAGAAAGGCCACAGCAGAAATTCAACTTGTTGCTACTCAACCTTAAATGTACCATGCATTCATATACTGAACAATTACAGAGGCCTACTGCAAGCAAGGTCATCTTGTAGGTGCTGGAAGTTCAGCAGTAAATGAAACAAAACAGAGAAAGTCTCTGCCTTCACAGAACTTACGTTCCAATAGGGATTGACAGGAAGTAAAGCAACAAAAGGAAAAAACAGATGGCGAGAAATGAAAAGAGGAAAACTTGGGCAGGGAAGTGGCCTAAGGGTGTGCTGTGATTTTTGATAAGCTAGACAAGGCCTCACCGAGTAAAGGCCTAGAGATCCCATTAATGTTCCTGTCTCTACCACAGTATATTCTGTTGTTCCCAGTAAGCACCCAAGTATGAATGATGTCAATGAACTTGGGGATTACTTCATAAAATGTACGTCACACCACACCCTTTATAATTTAAAACCATTTTCTTAACTAAGCATGGTTTCCTTCTTGCCATATAGAGAGGTTTCCATCAGATTCATCTTACCTTCTGGGACACTGTCATCCAGAAAGTTGTGCAAAGTGAACAAAGAGTTTCGAGATGCAAGGTGTTGGATAAAACGCTGTCAAACAAATGCGCCAAATTTTCAAATTAATTTCTGTGCATAAAGAAAGTTCTTTAATGATATATAGGCTAGCCAACATAAAGGCTGCAGCGTCATGAACTGTCTTCTATTTATAGAAACAACATTAAATACAAACACTGAAGCTCGGGCCGGGGATTTAGCTCAGCGGTTCGGAGGCCTGCCTTGCAAGCGCAAGGACCGGAGTTCAATCCCCGGTACCAAAAAAAAAAAACAAAACAAAAAAAAAACACTGAAGCTCAAGTCAATGTACACTCCCCCCACCAAGAGGTTTTTCAGGTTTTGAGTCAGGGTCTGGTTGTGCAGGTCAGGCTGGCCTCTGCCTCCCAAGTGCTAGGACTACAGGCAGGCACCACCACGCTCAGCTCCTCACCAAGACACTTTGTCTAGCCATAATCCCCATTTGATTTTCGTCATTTTGAGTCACATACAAAGTATACTATGACACAAAGTATAATATAAAGTATAATATGATAAATCTGCATTCTCCACTACCTAGAAAAGACAACTGTAAAATGAGTAAATACTACACATAAGGCGAAAGCATCTCTTGCCTTATCCTCAAGATCAATTTCTTCTCCTATCTAGGTAACTGGCATTATAATTTTAATGCATTATCTTTACATTATACTTTCTTTATAGTTCTAAGTGTTCTTGTTCCATGGGTAAATATTACATTTTATTTTACATAAATGTCATTTTCCAATTTGCTTCCTCTATGAGCATTGTTTCTGAGAGCCTACTGAATTTCATACTACATGCATCTCAGCGCACAACCTGAGCACAACCTGCAGCAGGTAATAATTTACACAGCATTCAAAGGGTGTGTGAGTTCCCACTTCCTCAAAGTCTTCTCAGCTCTCAACACTGTCAGCAAGTTTAAAATTTGCTAATTTGAGCATATTATCAAGTGGTTATAAGACTTCTTGGTTTTCTTTTCTGTGAACTTTGTTCATCATTTCTTCTGCTCATTGGCTCATTATTGCTTTTTCCTTCCAATTATGTATTTTGAAGATTAGCCTTAAGTCTGTAATATACATACTGGAAATAAATTCTTTTAACTTTATGGTATCTTTTCCACCCAAGTGTCATAAATATAGTATCCCATAAACCCCCATGTTTATAGCAGCACAGTTTATAACAGCTAAATCTTTGAAACAACCCATGTCCATCAACAGATGAATAGGTAAAGAAAATGCAGTATTTATACACAGTGGATTATTACTCTGCCATAAAGAAGGATAAACGAGACATTTGTAGGTAAATGGATGCACCTCGAGACCATAAACTCAGGTGAAATAAATCAGACACACAAGTTTAAATACTGTCTTGTTTCTAATGGAGGAGAGATATTAGGAAGTAGGAAGAATTTGTTCAAATGGGAAGGGAAACAAGATATAGGGTTGGGGAAAGGGAAGGAAGAAAAAGGGGACTTAAAGAAAAAAAGAACTGAAGGAAAAAATGGAAGCTTTTGTAAGTGAGGAGGTGAATAAGAATTGGAGGGAGGGGAGGGAAAGGGGACAAAAAAAGAATGAAGATGTGCTGTGTGCATGTATACATCCCCCATGATAAATGTGATCATTGTGTGCTGCAAACATGGACTAATAAAAATAAATACAAAATAAACATAGTGTCCTCCATTTTCTCCAATTCAAAATTTAGTTTTTCACATTTATGTATTTCATCCACACAGAATTTATTTTTGTATATGGAGTAAGATAAGAATTTCATTTCTTTCTCTCTTCTGGAATGCCATTTGTGCTACAAGGCTTTATTTCAAATTCTTTCCACTGTATTTTTCCCATGTGTTGTCAGTATCACCAGGCTTCCATAGAAGTATGGTTTGAATTGTGAGCTCTCTATTATGTTCTAGCTAACTACGTGTTCTGTTTTTATCAATATATACTGTGTAATTACTGTTGCTTTATGAGTTTCCAAACCCTCTAATTTCTACACTTTAGTTTTAATGCAAATCTTATTGAGACAAAGTGTGAATTTAAAATAGGAAATGTTCTTTGTAAATATGGAAGGGTGAAGGGGGTGAAGGGAGGGCAGGGGGGTATGGGGAACAAACAAGAACCAGGACATATCATTAAAGGTACAGGATTCCAATGATGAATGTAACTGTATGGTTTGCTTTGAGTGTACCAATAAACTTAATGGGGAAAAAAAAGAAAAGAAAATAGGAAATACTTTAGTGTCAGAGTATTTCAGTTCTGTGAAATATGAAGGGTGTGTGTATGGTATAATACACTCAGCCTCTAGTCTCCCCCAGAAAATGAAGCAGTTATGTAGTAATACATTTGGGGGGGAGATGATCAAAATTATCTAAGGAATTACCTAAATATCCACTCTATTATTTATCAGTGGCTATCAGTGTATAAATAGTATACTCCACAGCATGCTGACTTCAACACTATAATAAGTAAAACAGAAAAAAAAACTTGTTACCATAGAGTCGATTCACTTCTCCCACTTGTGGGTAGTGAAAGTAAAAGATGGGAAGTCCTTGACAAAGCAGAACTATTCTGCAAGTGTGTGCTGGTGGCTAGAAACAACCGCCCCAAGTATACCCATCACCACACTCACCTCATTTCCATGCACCATGAGGTGATGCACGGTAACCAGGGCTTTGAACACCACCACCCAGCTGCTGCTTCCAGTTTTCTCAGAAAGAATGTTAGCCAGATGCTTGACGCTCATATTTGTTTGATTTATGTATTGTGTTAGATCTAAGTTAGAGAGAGTGAAAAACATCACAACACAGACTGCGAAATAATTTTCAATTTACATCATTCAGCCTCCCCCAAAAAGTTCATTTCATTTTTCCATCCAATAATATGCAGTTGTGTGCAATGTATAAAGAAAGGTAAACTTGAGTCGTGTGTAGAAAAATGAATGCACTTTGAGAACATAATGCTAATAAATCAGACACACAAGCTTATAATATATCATGGTTTCTCTTATATAAGAAACCTAAAATGTAAATAAAGAGTAAAATAAAATATAAGTGATAGAAAACAGTGAGACAGATCTTTTGCAAATGGAAAGGAGACCAAGAGATGGAGGGAGGGGCAAGAACAGGACGAAAAAAGAATGAAGATGTGTTATGTCTGTGTACCACTGCCCCATAATGAATGTAATCATTGTATGTAGCAAACATGTACTAATAAAAATATAAGTTAAAAAAAAGAAAATGCAATTATTGCCTATTTTTAACAGTTAAAATCATCTCTGTTTTCTTTTTCTTTTTTCTTTTTTTTTTGGCTTTTTTTGAGACAGGGTCTCACTATGTAGTTGAGACTGCCCTGGAACTCACTATGTAGCCCAGGCTGGTCTCGAACTCACAGTGATCCTCCTGCCTCAGCCTCCCGAGTGCTGAGATTACAGGCGTGTGCCAACACGCCTGGCTCTCTGTTTTCAAAAGTGTCTAAAGACATTCATGACAAAACAACGCCATCAGTAGCTTATTCATTTATCGGCATTTTTTGTATGCATAGCACTAGGACAGGTGCCGAAGAAAGTCCTTGACAAATATGCTAGAGTACTGGAGCATTAGGCTGACCCTAACTGTACACCCAGATTCATTTATTCACCAACAGCATATACGTGGGGCCAATCCTAGGATCTGTCAGCTGCTGAGTCATGTTTAAACTTATGAAAAATAAAAATAAAATTCCTTCTCATATATTCATGTTTAAGTCTGCTCTATTTCCTCTTTTGTTAAGTTTCCTCTAAAAGTTCTTCATGTACTTTTCCCAATTATTTCAGCTTGTGTTAATCCTTAGGCTCTCATGATGTGGACTCAAGGGCCCCTTTTCCTTCCTTGCCTCTTTCACATAGCTAATTGCCGCTCATCCTCTGGGCCTGGAGGACCCAGTTTCAGTTCATAATTACATACCCATCCAGGGGTTGGATAGCATATATTTTCCCAGAATGTAGTACATGGACTGGCCAGAATAATGCTCAGTACATTGAAAATGTATGAAGGAAATCAATATATTTAACTCACTGAGCTGTGAGTTGCTAGAACACATGCACATTATTATGACAAGATAAAACCTCTGAAGACAAATGCAGGTTAAGTCACTGTATAAATTTTAAGCAAAATAGCAAAATGAGATGATCAGAGGTGTGCTTCGGCTGTGGAACTTTCCATAGCTGCAGGATTTCTGTATATTGCTGATAAAGTTAACGTTCATTTCGAGGTGAAATAAGAGGCAGGCAGGTTAGACTGGAAACCCATCTTTTGAGCAACTGATCACCGTAAGAACCAAAACATTTCACCTAGAAACATACAGACACAGAAACGCTTCTGTGACCCTCTGCAGGCTATCCACGGCCCCTCTACTACGAGGACCTATAAAGGATGGTATTCAATAGAATTTCTTTCTGAAACCCCGCTGAACACGCCTGGCTCTCTGTTTTCAAAAGTGTCTAAAGACATTCATGACAAAACAACGCCATCAGTAGCTTATTCATTTATCGGCATTTTTTGTATGCATAGCACTAGGACAGGTGCCGAAGAAAGTCCTTGACAAATATGCTAGAGTACTGGAGCATTAGGCTGACCCTAACTGTACACCCAGATTCATTTATTCACCAACAGCATATACGTGGGGCCAATCCTAGGATCTGTCAGCTGCTGAGTCATGTTTAAACTTATGAAAAATAAAAATAAAATTCCTTCTCATATATTCATGTTTAAGTCTGCTCTATTTCCTCTTTTGTTAAGTTTCCTCTAAAAGTTCTTCATGTACTTTTCCCAATTATTTCAGCTTGTGTTAATCCTTAGGCTCTCATGATGTGGACTCAAGGGCCCCTTTTCCTTCCTTGCCTCTTTCACATAGCTAATTGCCGCTCATCCTCTGGGCCTGGAGGACCCAGTTTCAGTTCATAATTACATACCCATCCAGGGGTTGGATAGCATATATTTTCCCAGAATGTAGTACATGGACTGGCCAGAATAATGCTCAGTACATTGAAAATGTATGAAGGAAATCAATATATTTAACTCACTGAGCTGTGAGTTGCTAGAACACATGCACATTATTATGACAAGATAAAACCTCTGAAGACAAATGCAGGTTAAGTCACTGTATAAATTTTAAGCAAAATAGCAAAATGAGATGATCAGAGGTGTGCTTCGGCTGTGGAACTTTCCATAGCTGCAGGATTTCTGTATATTGCTGATAAAGTTAACGTTCATTTCGAGGTGAAATAAGAGGCAGGCAGGTTAGACTGGAAACCCATCTTTTGAGCAACTGATCACCGTAAGAACCAAAACATTTCACCTAGAAACATACAGACACAGAAACGCTTCTGTGACCCTCTGCAGGCTATCCACGGCCCCTCTACTACGAGGACCTATAAAGGATGGTATTCAATAGAATTTCTTTCTGAAACCCCGCTGAATGTTTTCATTTAGAAGGGCAAGGCGGACTGAAGACGTCCAAGCAGCCTGGATTGTTATTCCGCCACCCTTGTCCCCTAAGTCACAGGAAAGAACCGCTAACTGTTTTGGAATTTGGTGTTAAAACCCGCCCGTGGTGCCTGTGACTGCTCAGCTTAGGGTTGCTTACTGTAGTAGGAGTTCAAACTTTCGGTTCCGGGTTGGAGGCCAAGGTGCTGTCCTCAGAGGTCTCCCCCACTCACACCACACTGCCTGTGTGTGCCCCGGCCGGGCCACCTACTCACCCGCCAGGTGTCTTGCTTCTGGTTCCGTGGGCTCATCGGTGGTGGCCCCGAGGGCAGCCTTGGACACAGAGGATCCCATGCGTGCGTCGCTGCTGGCTGCCAGGCACTATGGTGATGACTGCGAGATCGGGTCCCAGGCCCTCTCCTCTGAGCCCAGCGAGGACCCGTACCTCCGACAGCGGACCCAGATCCGCAGCTAAGCCTTGCTACAGATGAGATGCCCCAGTGACGGAAGAAAGGCCTCGCCTTTCAAGGGGCTCTCACCAAGCAACCTTTTCTTTATGCAGCGTGACGCAATCCCCAGCATTGTGAGTTGGAACCTGAACTTGCAAGATGCCGGGGCTGGCGAAAGTAACGGAAAAGATGGCCATGGGGTGGAGAAGGCGGGGCGGGACGAGGCCCTTGCTAGGGTTCTCTGGGCTCGGGCCGAGCATCTCCTGACGAGTTTTTGCTCGGTGCCAAAACAAACAAAGGTAATTTAAAGAATATGAATGATATTTTCTTCTGCCGAGTCGAATCTGCTATCAATCCCACCCAGACCATGCTATGTTTATAACCGTTTTCATTTTTGGAAGTTCCATTTGGAACTTTTTATATCCTCCATTACTCTCTTCATTAAGGTCACATTTTTCTTTAATCCTCTGAAGATATTCGTAATAGTTATAATGGCCATTTTGAAATGTCTGGGTGCAAATTTATTATGTCTGACCTTTTGTGTTATGTTTCTATTGATGCTTTTCTCTTCTGCATCACTCAATGTTTCCGCTTCTTCCTCTGCCCAGCAATTTGTGTTTCAGTGGCCGGCGTTTTAAATTTTCCTTTGGGAAGTATTCTGACACACACCTTCTAATACATGTTTTAACAGCCTTACTGATATTTAATGCATATGTTATACCATTTTCCCACTTAATGTACAATTCAGTAGTTATTAGTATATTCATTACAATGTGTAACCATCAAGTTCAATTTATAACATTTTCATTGCTTTCAAAAGGAAACCTTTCCTCTTTAGCAGTCCCTTTTTCTCTCTAAACTTCTCAACAAACAATCTGTTTCTACCCCTCTAAATTTATATATTCTGGGAATTTATACAAATGGAATCATACAATATGTAGCCCTTCATGACATTTTTCACTTAGTGTAATACATTTGAGGATCATTCGTGTTGTGTTAACTTCATCCCTTTTTAATGGCTGAATAATGTTCCACTGTATGTAGAGACCACAATATTTGCCTATGTTTCACTTGGAATGAACAGCTAGTTAACCATTCTGTATTCCTACCAGCAACGAATGAAGGTTCTCATTTCCCCACATCCTTGCCAACATTTGCATTTTCTTACAGCCATCCTAGTAGATGGGAAGTATCTCAGTATGGTTTTCATTTGCATTTCTCTGCTGACTAAGGACTTCAAGCTTTTCATATGCTCATTCAAAATTTGTGTAGCTGCTGTGGGGAAATGTTTCTGCATATCCTTTGCTAATTTGGAATGATTTTATTAATTATTTTTTTCAGAGCTTAGAATTAAACCCAGGGCAAGGCAAGCACTCTACCACTGAGCTAAATCCCCAGCCCTACCCATTTTTAGACGAGATCGGGAGCATTCAGGGTGGTATAGCCATAGACCCTCTCCCCATTTTTAAATTGGGTTTTTTTGTCTTCATTCATGACTTATAAGACTTCTACATGTTCTGAATTCATATCCCTTATGAGATATAAAATTTGAAAATATTTTCTTCCATTTTTACTTTTCACTTTCTTGGTGTTGACTATTCAAGTAATTGGGTTTTTTTTATTTGAAAGAATCTGATTTTCCTAATTTTTGTTGCTTATGTTTTTGGCATCATATCTAAAGATCCACTGCCTAATCCTAGATTATGAGTGTTTACTCCATGTTATTTTCTAAGGCTTTTGGAGTTTTAGCTCTTACATGTAAGTCTATGGCACATTTTGAGTAAACTTTTTGTGTATGATGTCAGGTATAGGCCCAACTTCATAGCTTTTTTATTTGTCCTGAAATTATTTGTTGAACAGACTGTTTTTACTCCATAGAATGATTTTGATAGACCTATAGAAAACCAATTGACCATAAATGTATAGGTTTATTTCTGGACTCCCAATTTGGTCTAAATGTCTAGCTTACACCAATATAACACTGTCCTAATTCTCTTAACTTTGTAGTAAGCTTTGAAATCAGCAAATGTTAGTCCTTTCACTGTGTGTTTTTCCAGGATTGTTTTGGCTACTCAGAGGCCCCTGGAATTCCATATGAATGTGAGGATCAGCTTGTGAATTTCTGTAAATAAGCAAGCTAGGATTCTGATAGGGAGTGTATTGAATTTGAATTTATTAATCAATTTGGGAAGTACTTCCATACTATACTAACAAAAGTTAGTCTTTTTTTTTTTTTTTTTTTTTTTTTGGTACTGGGGATTGAACTCGGGTCCTTGCGCTTGCAAGGCAGGCCACTGAACCGCTGAGTTAAATCCCCGGCCCCATGGATCTCATCTTTTTAAAAAGCTTCTTCATTGCAAGAGAAACCACCAACAGAGCTGAGAGACAACCTATAATGTGGGAAAAAAATTTACCAGCTGTGCCTCAGACAATGGCCTACTATCCAGAATATATAAAGAATTAAAAAAAAAATCAGACCCCCCAAGTGTATAAACCCAATTCAAAAATGGGCATGTGAAGTGAACAGACATTTCTAACAAACAAGTAAAAGCAGCAAATAAACGTGAAAAAATGTTCAACCTCACTGGTCATTGGAATGATGCAGATGAAAACAACACTGAGACTCCACCTCACCCTAGAAAGAGTGGCTGCTATTAAGAAATCAACCAATAACAAATGTTGGTGGGGTTGTGGGGAGAAAGGAACCCTTCTCCATTGTTGGTGGGAGTGCAGACTGGTGCAACCACTGTGGAAATCAATATGGAGATACTTCAAAGAGCTGGGACTAGAGGTTCCATTTGACCCAGCCATCCCTCTGCTGGGTATCTTTCCAAAAGAATTAAAAGAATCATACCAGAGTGATATATGCACACTAATGTTTATAGCGGCACAGTTTGTAATAGCTAAATCTTGGAAACAGCCCATTTGCCCATCAGTTGGAGATTGGATAAAGGAAGATGTGGCTTTTCTATAAAATGGAGTACTACTCAGCTATAAAGAATGAGAAAGTAGAGACATTTATAGCTAAATGGATGCACAGGAAGGCTATACTCTTAAGTAAAATAAATAAAACACACTTGAGTATTGATTAGTTTCTCTGGTGTGAAAAACTAAAAGTGTACATGAAGTTCAAAGGGTAAATTTGACAGTGTGAAATCACAAGAAAATGGCTAAAGGAGAAGTGGGGGGAGGAAATAAGGGAAAAGAAAAAAATATGAAAAAAGGAAAAAATGGAAACAAAGTCTTTGTAAAAGGGAAGGACGGAGGGGGTGAAGGGAGGGTAGGGGAATGGGGAAAAAATAAGAACCAAGATACATCATTTCTAGAGCTGGGACTAGAGGTTCCTTTTGACCAAGCTATAGCTCTGCTGGGTATCTTTCCAAGAGAATTATATCACAGTGACATATGAGCACCTATGTTTATAGCAGCACAGTTTGTAATAGCTAAATCATGGAAACAGCCCATTTGCCCATCAGTTGGAAACTGGATAAAGAAGATGTGTTTTTTCTATAAAATGGAATACTACTCAGCCATAAAGAATGAGAGATTATATCAATATGAGCACCTATGTTTATAGCAGCACAGTTTGTAATAGCTAAATCATGGAAACAGCCCATTTGCCCATCAGTTGGAAACTGGATAAAGAAGATGTGTTTTTTCTATAAAATGGAATACGGAATACAGTAGGGAAAGTGGGAAGGGTAGGGGAAAGGGAATAAGGGAAAAGAAAAAAAATGGGAAAATGAAAAAAAGGAAATAAAGTGTTTGTAAGTGGAGAGGGTAGGAGGGGGTGAAGGGAGGGCAGGGACAAGGGGGAAAAATGAGAACCAAGACCTGTCATATAAAGGTACAAGATCCCAATGATGAATGTAACTGTACTGTAAACCTAGAATGTACCAATAACCTCAATAAAAAGAAAAAAAAATTAAAACATAAAGGCATAAGATCCCAATGATAAATGTAACTATATTGTTTGCCTTAAATGTACCAATAAACTTAATGGGGAAAAAAAACTATCTTCACTACTAAAAAAAATAAATAGCCAACTGGAATTATCTAATAGGTAGAAATGTAGGTTTGGAGTTCAGATAGAGGTACTGATGGAGATATAGGCAAGCAATGACAGATAAGCCTATGAATGAACCTAAGGAGGGACAAAGAAGAGAAAAATTTAAAAAAAAACATGTAGAATAGCACAAACCAAGAGAAGTAGATTTCATAGAGGAATGACCAACTTTGCCAAGACTCAGAGGACATTTAGCATCTATTGATGTTCGGTATGTGGATTTGGCAGGCATGGTTTCAAGGGACTCAGGCAGGTTAAGTCCAGAATGCAATGAGTTAAGATAACAGAAGGAGAGAGCAAATAAAGATGTCTTGGCTGTGATTTAAAATGTGGAACTTAGTGTCCATAAAGGGATAAAGAGGTGAGGGTTGGAATGCAATATTTTGTATAAAGATAAGCCAAATTGATGAAGGAGCAAGAGTAACAATACAGCTTGATCACATAACCATTCCTTAAAATGATCAACATTTTTAAAAGGATGAACACTGACCTAAAAGGAATCTTGGTTGTCATCTACTGTTATCTCATTTTATACGCAAAGTCAATGGAGCATAAAAAGAGAAAGGGGCTTGTGTTCGAGTGGCCTGTAAAAATATTCAAATCATTTTATTCCCTCAGATTTTTTAATCACCTTTTTCTTATTAGATAAAATGGTATCACACTCCTTAGTTCTTTACTTAAAACTTATACATATTTTTTCTGCAAGAATTATAGACTTTCAAGAAGTTATTCAAAATTAATAGAGTAGCATGTATCTTTGCCCATTTTCCTCCAGTGATTAAAGTCTTCCAAAACACAGTACAATTTAAAGCCAACACAGTGACAATGGTAGAAGACTGTTTACCAGACTACAGACTTTATTCAGTTTCACTAATTTTACATGCATGCATTTATGTATACAGATCATACAGTTTTAGCATAAGTATGAACTCATGTGATCAACACCATAATTAAGATACAAACTGCTCCATCAGCACAAAGAAACTCCACGTGTCATGCATGTAGAGTCCCACAGAAGCCATCCTTAATCTGTTCTTCATTTCTATAATTTTGACATTTAAAGACTGTTGTATAAATGCAGTCATACAACGTGACCCTCTGATATTCTTTTTTTAAATTCATCATCAATACCCCTCAGGTCCATCTAAGTTGTGTGTATCAATACAGTCTGTTCCTGTGCATTGCTGGGCAGCATTTGAAGGTACAGATATTTTGTTTAACCTATTGCGCACTGCAGGACATCTTCATTATTTCCAGTTTTTTAATAAAGCTGCTATGAAAATTTTTGTAGAAGTTACTGGGCCAACATAGGTTTTCATTTCCCTGGGATAAATATCCAAAAGTGAACAATTATTTCCATTTTTAATAAAGCTGCTATGAAAATTTTTGTAGAAGTTACTGGGCCAACATAGGTTTTCATTTCCCTGGGATAAATATCCAAAAGTGAACTTTCTGGGTTATATAGTATGTTTAATTTTAGAAGAAATTTCTCAACTCTTTTCCAGACTGGCTATACCATTTTACATTCTTATTTTCGACATATGAGAAATTTAGTCCATATCCTCAACAGCATTTAGCATTTTCGCTATTTTTCCATTAGCCATTCTGATGTCCTACTGCATTGTGGTTTTAATTTGCAGTCCATGATGATTTATAAAGTTTATTGTCTTTTCAAATAATCACCTGGCATCCATATATCCTCTTTGGTGAAATGTTCATTCGTATCTTTTACTCATTTTTTGGGGGGGTACCAGGGATCGAACTTGGGTCCTTGCGCTTGCGAGGCAGGCAGCAGAACCACTGAGCATGCCCGTTTTACTCATTTTCTAGTTGGATTATTTTTTATTGTTGAGTTTGATTTTACTGTGCATTTCCACATTGATCAGGCACTCTATTGTTTGCAAATAATTTCAATTTGTAGCTTATCTTTTCCTCTTCTGAGATATTTTTTACAGAGCGATTTTTAAAATTTTGACGAAGTCCAACATATCAACTTTTTTCTCTTACAGATCATACTTTTGAAGTTCAATAACTTAGCTCCTAAAGATTTTTCTGCTATGACTTTTTCCCTAAAGTTGTACAGTTTTACGTCTTACATTTAAATCCATAATATATTTTGAGGTACATTTTATAGCATGTGTGAGATTTACTTGAGTTTTGTTTTGTTTTTTGCCTATGGACATCTGATTGCTTCAGCATGATTTGTTGAAAAATGTATCTTTTCTGCATTAAACTGCTTTTGAATTTTGTCAAAATTAGTTGGGGATATTTATCTGAACCTATTTCTGGGTTCTATCTTCTGTTCCATTGATCTGTGAGTCTCTGTCTGCCAATACCATTTTGATTAGTGTAGCTTTATAGTAAAATTCATGACATCAGGTAATATGAATCCTCTAACGTTTTGTTTCATCAAAATTGGTTTATCTTAATTATATGCAGGGTATTTTCATCTGTCCTATAGAGAGAAAAAAAAAAAGAACAGAGAAGAACTGGCAGCAGGAAATTAGGAAAAACAGTATTTATATTCTATACGTTCTAGAGCAGTTTTCAAATGGTAAATGTGCCTTAGAATCAGCTCATAGATCATGCAGATTTCTGGATTGCAACTCCCTACCCCCAGTGTTTGATCTCCAAGTGTTTCTAAAGCAAGTGGTTTCAGAATCTGAAAAACATTAATTTGGTGAGAAACCAAAGAAAAAAACAAAACCACCTTTTTTACTGTTGTGATTGAGACTGTTTTCTTTCTTTTGACCTCATCCAATTTCCACTGTTTTTTTTTTTTAGTATGTAATAGGCCTGAATCTTTTCTGAAGACATACATTTATCATTTGTGACTATACATGCTAGGAATAATGTAACTGAACTGTTAAAAGCATGTTTTTATTATATTCTAAATCCTAAATGTTTTAGAAAACACATTTAATTATAATGGAATTTCCTAGGTAAGTAGGATCTGTTCAATAGGAATTTGCTTCACAGTCAAATATGCTAGAATTCATTGGGTTGGTTAAAAAGGACACCCACAGAGATTTAAGACCGATAAGTGTCTCAGAATACATACTGTAGAGATCAGGAAGGAAGCCATGGCACATATGCCTCCCAGTAAGGGCAAAGAATAGAGATGGGGAATTCCCTACACTTCCTTACATTAACTCTTATGTACTTAATATTTACTTGTCTAACATACAAGTTGAAACATAAAATATTCTTCTTTCTTTAGCTTAATATAAGGGGTGAATGTAACTGAAAATGGAAATAAAGACTTCTAAGTTTAAGAAGGGAAAAATAGCATTTAGAAAGTACTGCAGAGGCATTTAATTATAAGATAACCCTTGTCAATGTACCTTCAATAGCCTTTAAAGAATAAATTTCATATATTACTTCAATCGTCTGGTATATACTGTTTGTAGGCTAGTTATAGGTACAGTAGAAGGGTTCAATAAACTCTTGTGCAATTTTTAGGAAAAGCACCTTGTGTTTATTGCATATATAAAAAGTACTGGCCTACTGTCTGACTATACCAGAGCTGTGTGCAGCTTTAAACTATGTTTAGTATACAAATTTAAAAAATACCCCATTTTGTCAGCTGCTTCAGTCTAGGGAAGAGAGTTCTTGCAGAAGCTCTTCTTTTTCTTGTTGTAACTCCTGCAAATGCTGTTGGTTTTGCTCCAGTCTGTCTTCCAACCACTGCAGGAGAGGCCCACTGACTGCTGACATTTGACTGCACAGATTCTTGGTAAATACTTCAATAGGAAAAACACAGATGAGCTCACCAAGGAAATTTCTCTCCACTGGCATATTTCCACTCCGCCACCAATGGTGCTTCAGTTGTAAGCACCCATGAAGGAGGTTGGAGGAGGAAGCAGAAAAAGTTAAATAAGTAGGCCTGGTAAATGATTTTCTGTGGCCAGCTAGGGGAAAGACAGAAGAGCTAAGCAAAGAAAACATCTGTTAAGAAGTATCTGGCATCCCTCTGGGTTCATGAGACAGAGGGAAAAGCCTTTGCGCTGCAGGGAGCAAAAAGACAGTCAGCTTTTTATTCCTTTTGGCAAAAGGACTAAAAGAAGAACACAGCGTTCCTTTCTCAGCTCTTTAGAAATTCCCACACTGTAACTGACTCCTAGAGAGCTAGAACTGTGCCTTCTTCAGAAGCCCCATGGGAAACATTAATTTAACTCATCTGAAAAGTTCTCTTTGAAAATGAGAAAAAAAGGGAAGAAGAAAAAGGGAGTTATCTTTCATGCTTTACTGCAAATGTTCAGCTCATGATGAGACAAAGATTTTGCAATACTCTTTTAAAACAAATTCTACCTAATGGAAATATCTTTTACTCTCTCATAATACATGATGGTTATTAAAATGACCCCTGTAAGGCCTATCTTCCCAGATATACATGCACACACATGGACACACATGCACACACACACACACACACACACACACGCTTTTGAATAAAAACTGAGTTATTTTGGATGTTACTTATCCTCCACATAACAGTATATGATAGATATCTTTCTATGTCAATGAAAAAAATCTAGCTCTCTTGCTTTTTTGCGCTAGTACTGAGGATTGAGCCCAGGACTTTCACAATGAACTATTTCTACCAATTTTTTTTTTATTTATTTTGAGACAGGGTCCCGTTAAGTCATTAAGCTACACAGGCTGGGCCTAAACTTGCAATCCTCATGCTTCAGTCTCCCAGAGTGCTGGGATTACAGGCATGCACCACAATAGCCAGGTTCCAGATTTCCTTCTTAAAGCCTGCACAATATTCATCCGAATGGCGGTACCAATTTAATAAGTCCCTTATTGACTGACATTTCAGTGATATCCAATTTTATGCTATTATATAGTGTGTTTATGTGGAATTTCTATATTTAAGCCAATGTATATTTTAAAACTGAAGTATTTTCCATATCATATCAAATTGTATACCTCCAATGATAGAATTCTTGGAACAGGTATAAGGTTCATTTTCCTCATGACCTTATCTGATTATTTCTCTATTTAATCTTTGCCAAAGGGCAAAAAAAAAATGCTAACTTTATCTTAATCCACACTTCTTTTAAAGACTATAATTAATTTTTTTAAATTTTTTTGTAGGGCTTATAAAAGTGTTTACTTTTTATTTAGTCAATGTTTTATAAGTGCAGAGTTTCAGATTATACTTAGGGTATAGCCTCCCTAGAATTTTGAAAAAATATTCTCTTATGCTTTCTCCTGTACTTTTTAAATTTTATGATGAGCTTTATTGGGCTATAATTTACAGGCAATAAAAAAACAATTTAAAGCATACAATGCAACAAATTTTGACAACTGTATAACTCATGTCACTACCCTTAGTCAAGGTGTCTTTCTTCCTGTCCTACTCTAAGTTGCATTTACAATATCCAAGGCTCTACAAGGTTCAAAAGAAATGTCGGGAGCGAAGACAGCTTCTACCCATCATTTCAGTTACTTCACCTAAATCTACTTCTGATGGGAGAGTATTTCAGAGTCGAGGAAAAAAAAAAAACTTACCTGAGCCATTATGAATCTTGGTTACTGAGTCCAGATGTGTAAGGCTAAAGGGAGAAAACAGTTTAGGTTAGTAGCAAAGTAGCACTGAAAGTAAAGCCAAATGGTCATAGTTAATATCAAAATGACAAATGATGTCTGATCTTTGCCAGCTGGATTAGATGAATCTGTCCCATTACTTTTATTTTTAAAATTTTGAGCCAGGGTCTTGCTATGTTGGTTAGGTTGACCACCAACTTGTGATATTTCTGCCTCAGCCTCCCACGTATTTCAAGTAGCTGGGATTAAAAGTATGCACCACTAGGCCCAACTCTAATTATTGTTAATTTTAAAAGACTTTCTCTAGAATTTCAAGAAGTAATTCAGAGATATAACTTTGAAATTACTATCACTTGCTGAAGCCTTGATATGATATAGTACACATTTACTAGGCAAGACAGTGTTTGGTAACAGGGCTACTAAGATATTGTGGTTTATCTTATTTTCATAACCTAAAAAGAAAGAGCCATTCCCTGAAAGGGTAGAAGCTATATCAACAGAGAAAGATATGTTAAAGAGGCTGTTATAAAGTATAAGAAAAATTATGATCAGAGACTACAATAAAACTTTCTCATAGATGATAGAAAGGGAGCTCAAGGGTTGAGTTGCTAAAAATAAAAGGACTAAGCTCTGAAATTTCTTTCTTTCTTTTTTTTGCGGGGGTACCAGGGATTGAACTCAGGTCCTTGCACTTGTGAGGCAGGCGGCAGAACCACTGAGCTAAATTCCAGGCCCAGGACTAGGCTCTAAGAAGTAGAGAAGAGGGACAACATGGTCTCCACCTGTGAATCCTCCTATATGCATCTTGCTCCTCCTGGCACAGAATTTTGGGCAGCTCCACTGCTGATTCAAGGCACACTTTCCCAATGGTGACATGAGGCACAATATGGATTGGGATTTCGATTCTCTCATACCTGCAAGGCAACCAGTTCAAGTCAGCTTTGAATCCTTAGTTGTAATCAGGAACTCTCTATTATTTTAATTAAAACTCCAGGATATGTCATGCTTCAAAAATTAAACATTTCTGCAGTTAATTAAGTGACTCAAATTCAAAGTGGATAGAGTTCCAATTGGGTTTATCCAGGCAACAAATTGGGAGTCCATTTGCAGAATCAGTAGTCCTATACAGAATATGAATCTACTGCTAAAAACTTAACAGAAGCCTTTGGGAATCCAAGGTCCTTATGGCCTACTACCCAGATAAAGGAAATGGCTGCTAAAATATTGTTTTCATCCAGGAACTTTGCCAGTAAGTTTGAACAAATTGATCCCAAAGCCTGAGGAAGAGGAACTGCAGATTTTTCAGTGACTCCATCAGATCACCAGTAGCCCTCATTTCCCATTCTCTCCTTTGAGGAAAAACAGGGAAGAAATTCACATATACATGCATTTTCATGCTAGAGTGAGAAACAGATATGCTCATTACTAAGACTAGCCATTCTACCTCTATAAACTTCTCACTCACATACACCTAAACTCCACCTAACAGTGAGTCCAGTGGAAAATCCAGGTTGAAGGTCTTTGTCAGTAAAGCAAAATAAGGTCTGGTTCCCTATTCTCTCTTTCCCACCCAGCAGAGTGTGTCTAGGGACGCCAGTAAAGGCTAGATGGAATACAAATGATAGTAAATTACAACCACCCTTCCCTTTTGCCTACCTAAGCTACCAGGGAAGAATTCATGAAAGAATACCATAGTTGCTAGGGTGTTTTTTGTGGTTTTTTTTTTTTTTTTTTTTTTTTTTTTTTTGGTACCGGGTATTGAACTCAGGCCCTTGTGCTTGTGAGGCAGGTGCTGGAATCACTGAGCTAAATCCCAGGCCCAGAGGTTGTTTAAAGAAGCCACCTTTGGAGTAATACACAATAACTATTTTAACTGATAGTTCCAAGTACACTTAAAAAAGTCAGTCTGCTATTGGTTCACTTAACAAGGTTCATTAGGAGCATGAACACAAATGGCTCCAATGGTCTACTGTATTGGGTTTGGACATATATCTTCACAAATTCTTAGCAGAAATCCCTAGAGCTTCTGTCAATTTACTCAATCCTAAGACCAAGGTAAGTAGAGATATAATGCTTATGACAAAGATCCTGCTTCTGCTAATGAATTAGATAGTTAAGACCAATGTTGCTATTGACTACAACTAGAATAGCTGGGAGAGAGAAGGAGGGAGAGAAGGTAGAAGAGAAGGAGGGAAAGGGAGAGGGAGGGAAAATGGAGAGGGAGAAAGAAGGAAAGAGAGGCAAGGGGGGAGGGAGTGGAGGGGAAGAGAGAGAGCAGAAAGAGTGAACAATAGGAAGTCACTGGAGAGCTACTGACACAAGTAATTATAGGGTCAACAACTGGGAAAGGAGGAAATCCAGAAATGAGCCTGACAGGGACAATTTTTCTGGAAAGAGCTCTTCTGAATCTAGAGGAGGGAACATACAGGATAAAAAGTTGCAGACAGATTTCAAAGGGCTTATGGGTCTATGTTGACAAAATTATAGTTCAGGGTCATCAGGTAGAAAGACCTGGTATATTGTCCTTCAATAGTATACATACTAGGAGTAAAAACAGACTAGATTATACAAGAACTGATAGCCCAACTTTGAATAAATCTCAATTCCTAACTGAATTTAGGTAATCTGGTAGTTCTATTGACAAAAAAGTCACCAAAACCCATTTCTTTAACCACAAAAACATGAACAGATTTTAAAAAATCAACCACCAGAGAATACTAAGGCAAGTTTAAGTGAACTATATGCTAGAAAGGAACAAGAAGTAGATGAGTAGAGACTAGCAGCCATTCTTCTCCCTGGAGGCATCTGTCTTGTCTAGGAGCACAGACAGGTACAGGATTTGCTTGCCACACTATATGAACTTGGCTAGGGTAAGCGAAACCAACAGCACTTATAACAATCATGTGAGCCTATATGACAGAGTACAATTTGCAGATGCCCTTAACATAGACCTTCTGACAATTTTAATCCACAGAACATGCTAAGTGTATGGAGAAGCAGAGGAAGCTGAGATTTGAGCTGAACAATGGAAAGATCTTCATTAAGTCATCATTTCTCCTAGGAAGCAGGAAATGGAATAATCATAGGGCATGACTTACCCTGTACTCTTATCCCTCAAAACCAAAGTAAACCAGAAAATAACTGAAGTAGCAGCAGTTCTGATACAGATAACTTTGGACTGTATAAGAGCCTCCTATGCTAGCAGGCTAATAAGTGAAAGGACATGCTCTCTCTGGGGAATAATATTCAGCCCAATGTTTATTTAATAACTGTGCCACACAATAAAAATGTTAAGAGACAAGAAAATATAACATATAGTCAAGAGAAAAAGTCAGCAGAAAAGATCCACAGATACTGGAATTAGTAGATAAAGAACTTGTACTATTAAAATGTTTTTTAAAAATCAAGTAAAGATGGACAAAATGAATGAAGACATAGAGAATTACTACAATTAGAGAGCCAGGGATATAGCTCAGTGGTACCACACCCACCCGGCAAGCACAAGGTCCTGAGTTCAATCCCTGGTACCAAAAAAAAAACAAAAACAAAAACAAAACAAAACAAAAAACCACCAAAACCCAAACAAACAAACAAAAAAATATATATATAGTCCCCAAAAATGAACCAAATGGGGTGATACCAGCAAGATAGCAGACTAAAAGGTTTCAGGACCTTGCTCTTCCAGACACTGAGTTAACAAAAATATACAGACTGAAATATCATTGTAAGAACACTGTAGAAACTAGTTGGAAAGTTATAACACCCTGTTTTAGTTACTTTTTCTTATTGCTGAGACAAAACACCCAGACCCAAAGTTAAAGGATGAAAGGTTTATTTGGCTGTTTATAGAAATTTCAGTCCATAATTGGATGGCTCCAAGGCACAGTAGCATGGCAAAGGGGCATCGCAGAAGAGAAACAGTTCAAGGGAGGCAGAAGCCAGCAAAACAGTGAAGTAGCAAGCAGCAAGCAGCAAGCAGTGACAACAGCAGCCCTCTTTCTGTCCCTTACATTCTATCCTTTTTCTGTGCCTTATATTCTATCCAGACTACATGCACTTAGGGTGAATAGCATTCACATCCACGGTGGAACTCCCTTAATCCTAGTATTGCACTATAAATCAGTCCTAGTATCACATCTTTAATCCAAGCATCACACACTCTAGATCTAGCTATCTCTGAAAAGCTCCACTTATGACCACAAAAGGCTTTGGTGGCGGGGAATCTAGATATAAGCCATAACACACCCAGATCAAAGTAAAACCAAGAAATGATTCCCAGTGAAAGCAGAAGGAAAATTTGTTGCACTTTGTATGCCTGTCCACTTCCTTCCTCATTTGACCCTATCACAATACAATGGGAGACACCCTGCCACACTAAGGACTCCACCTTGGACTGCAAAAAGAATATATTGGGAGTCTAAAATTCTGGGTACTTTGGGATTGCCTGAGGGCCTGGCATCTGTCTCACCTAACTTGGAATGATGACAGCACCAGTAGCCTGGTTTGGAAGTTGATAACAGATAAATTCATATGTTAAAGACTTGGTTCTGTGGGCAACAACCAGAATAAAAGATTATGGGCTTCTGGGAAGAAACTGGGACAAACTTCTTGGAGAACATGAAATAACTAAAAGCATGTGCACATCCTCAGAAAAGGTTTGAGAGGTCTTAGAATCTCTATTTGCATTGATTAGAAAAACTCCTCTGCACAAAGCCAGCCTCTAAAGATTTGAAGAGGTTGTTTTTTCAAATGTCTAAGTCTCAAGAAGAAGAACAACAAATCACAAGGCATACAAACAAATACAACCAATCAAAACACAAAATACAATCCCAGACTAACCCTAAAGGAACATAGATCTATGACTGACTGCTTAACAAAGAATTTAAAATAAGCGCCATAAAGATGCTCAGTAAGTTAAATAAGAATAGACATACAACCAAGTGAAATCAGGAAAATTATGCATAAACAAAATGAGGGTACCAACAAAAAATACAGAAACCAAAAAGGAATCAAACAGAAATTCTGGAGCTAAAAAACAGAATAACTCAACTGAAAATAGCACTATGAAGTCAACCACAGATTTTATCAAACAGAAAAAAGAATAATCAAACTTGAAGGGAAGTCATTTTAAATCAAATCAGAGGAACAAAATGAAAAAAGAATGAAGAAATGCAAAAAGAGTTTAAGAGATTTATGGGATATTAGCAAGTGGACCAATTTATACAACTTACAGAAGAAGGAAAAGAGAGACAAAGAAAAGGGCAGAAAACATATATGGAGACATAATGATAGAAAACTTCTCAAATCTGAGAAAAGAAATGGACATAAAAATTCAAGAAGGCCAAAAAACTCCACTCAGGATAAGCCCAAAGACACTAACACCAAAGCACATTATAACTAAACCATTAAAAATTACAGGTGAAGGGCCGGGGATTTAGCTCAGTGGTTCTGCCACCTTCCTAGCAAGTGCAAGGTCCTGAGTTCGATCCCCAGCACCAAAAAAAAAAAAAAAAAAAAAAAAAGG